AGCAGACACGGAGCAGCCAACCCATGAACCCGAGCACCCGTCTGCACCAGAAGTGCCAGCAGCACCAGCACCTCTGGCGCAGGTGAAGCAGGAATCCCAAGAGCCAGAAGACGACTCATGGAGGCGTGACAACAAGGGCAAGATAGCAACACCACAAGCATTGTACATGCGCTTCTACAGGAGCATCCGAAGTGGCCCAGCTAAAAAAAATAACGCAGGTTTTTCCCTAAATCTAGTTCACCACCAAGCCGTCCTGCTGTTTGCACTTGGGTACCCGACACATGTAGCAAAGGTAAAGCAAATCCACCTCCCAAAGAAGTGGCTGACAAGCTGATCGAAGAGGAGCAGAAAAGCACCATGGTTGTGAGTAGTTTGGGCGTGCGTGGTATGAAATGATACGTCGTGTCCAATCTATGGATACATAATATGCATATACTACATATGATTTTCATATGCTTCAATGCTCGCAACGTCGTTCTTATGAGGCAATGGTGGCAACGCCAAGCTGCATGACCTCTACTTGGTATGGCTTTCTGCCAAGGGTGTTTGGGAGAAAGCAACGTTGCATTTGAGCATTCGTAAAGACAACGTGAATACTCAGCAAACGGTTTATCATTTTGTTGAACTAAAAGATCTGATTGCTCAATATGGCGAAGAACTGGCGCAAGATCTCGTTCGCCGGCACAAAGAAGCAGAATCTAAATTACCGGCTTCACAGAAGGGCATGTATATCAAAGCGAGCCTTTGCTAGACAATTTGTTTGTTTGGAACCCAATGTGTGGAGTGAACTCTTAGCCACAAATCCAACACATAAGATCAAAATAATCACCCCGCCCCAATTCGCCAAGGAATCCAGATTTCCCACAGAATGAGAGTCTGTGGCGGTACAAGGCCTTTAAGGACATGCATGAGAAGAAGGCTGAGCTGAACTCATCCTCTGTGGAAATCACCAACCATGCCAAGTTGACGGAAGAAAGCTTTCATGATACTGCGTACTCTGGCTGATCGAATGCATGCATGTCTCAAAACTGTTCAGCAGTCTAGTTGAATGATGTTGAATGGTAATTGTAGAACATACCCAGGAATGCAGTGATGGATGGCAGCTCTGGTATGCAGTTCGCTCCAGGGGGACCACTGCCAAACTCCAAACCTGATACACCCTTGCCCAAACCAAAGCCTGCTCCATAAGAAAGGACTCCTGAACAAAAGCTAGCAGCAGCCATTTGGCCTGCACAAGACACATGTTCAAGCAGCACTATCTAGGCATATGTGATCAGTTAGCATGTATGAATGGGGCATTCCTAGGCCAACAACACCGCCAACCGCATGCTTACTGATGCGCAAGTTCTAGATTCGACTTTGCAAGGGCATGCCGAAGTGATTCTTGACTGCGTGCAGCATGTTTCATGCTCTAAGCTTATTACCCAATAATGGCTTCTAGTAAGTCCGCGCGTATCTCAGGGCGCCATCCTACAAAATTGCATTGAGTGCGGATCTGAAGAACGCGTCGGAGTCTCTTGCCTCGGCAAAGAATGCAGCTGTTCAGAGCCTGGCGAACAAGTCCGATGTCCAAGCTTCTCTGGATGTTGCTAGCCTTCACATCATGAAATCTGTTTGCATGTTTGTGGAGAAGCTGAAGTTTATTTCCCCGTGTGGCACTTAGGGTTTGAATACACAAATCGAGCAGTTCAAGAAGATCTTGGATTCAGTGAGGTCTCAGACCAGACCCAAAAAGGTTCCCAAGGGCAAAGCCAAAGCGCGAGCCAAAAAGTAGTTGCAATGCAACCATTTTGGGGGCAACTGCGTAGTCTGCACTGTGGAGGGCAGTCCGTTCACTACGTATGTTTGCAGTAGATCACATCAAAGCCGACTAGACCCTCTGAGCGCCCAAGACACTATATACTACTATATAGTTACTATATAGCTGTTCTAAATGTGATAGATTGAGAATATATGTTTCCAAGTGCCAGCTCTAGTTTGCAGGGTTGCGCAGGGGACATTGGCCTGAGATGTGCGTGCTTTGTGGTAAACTGACTACAAGCATTTGTGACGCAGCACAGGTGCAAAAGCAAAAAGCCCGTTCTTTGGCTTGCTTCTTTTCAAGACCTACGCCACAAATGTCCTGAGCACAAAACCGCCTTTACCCCACCCTTGGCCGTTTCCCATTAAAGCCACTGGCTCCTCCCACGCAGGTGAAGATCAGCCTTCAAAGCCACCTGCAGTCTTTGCAGAGCACCTGTAGCGTGGCGATGCTTCAGCCTTTTTTGGGGGGAAGGTGTTGGATCAAAAAGGGAAGGACCAAAAGAGCTTTTAAACCATAATTTCAACTCAAGTCAAGAGTCAAGGGTTTCAACGCTGTCAAGCTATAGGCTTGGCAATGTGGGCTTGGGTCGTGAGAGCGCACGCAGTGCCGTGAAGAATGCGCATGCTGTGTCTGAGGCTGGGTGGAGGCGTGACTTTGTTTTGAAGTAGCCACCCCACAGCATGAAAGTTCCTAGAAACTGCTCGTTGGGTTCTACATCCCCTGAAGGAGGCTGGGATGAAGAATTTGTCTTCAACTACCTCCAAGATGGCCTCTATCTCTCTCAAAAACAGGAACGCAAACCGAGATCTCTTTAGGTACATCCGATGCCCTGTCGACATCGTGTACGTAAGTTGCCCTGTCTTTGCCGACCCTGGTGGTGACAAAGTAGTGGAGCAGCTGCTCCCAATGGTTGACCCCCATGAGCTTCTTGAGTGGATGGCATCTTCAGGGCGCATCAAAGTTCCTCCTACAACCATCCAGCCCCTTGCCACGATTTTCACTGTAAGGAACGGTTTGGACAATTTTTAAACAAATGAAACGGTTATCAAATTCATATGCGTGCGTGAGCTGCTTAGGACCTATTGGCACCATTGGTCTTCAGTGTCAGATTGGGCACCAAACCACCCTGGCAATGGCCATGCTCTGCCAGTTAGCATCTATGGCGATGAGGCTAGGGTCAGTGATCATACTGGTCACAAAGTCATAGCTTTGACGCTACAAAGCCCATTGATCAGGAAAGAGGGAGCCTGATTTGAGTTCAGAACGGTTTTGGACCATGTTTCCTACCTTTGTAGCTGTTACTTGATCTTCCCTCTGCAAATGCATTCTGAGACATTTGTTTGTGCGTGTCATAAGGTGCCCCTTGGGCTGAGAATTTTTTGTTCTTCATCATCTCTTCAGCGATTGCTGTTGGTACTGGGGGCATTGTGTCTTGGATTGATTCCGCTTAGGCCTACAAATGTTCAAGGTTTGGGAATTTCACCCCAAAGAATGCAACGAGTTTTTGGCAGCAGCTCACTTGGAAGTGATGCCGTGCCCATTGCCCAGGACACGCTGAGACCAATCCTGGCACGAACAGCGTGGAGCCTCAACATCGCCTTGCGTGGGACCCGACCTCCTGCCAACGTTGCTGTGCCATTCCAATTGGGGAAAAGGGAAGCAGATCCTCTGATTCGTGGAACAATTTTTGTCCAATTCCAATCGCATAGTTCAATTTTTGTACCTAGAATTGCCCTTTCTCCTCCCAGCATTCATAGCAGAGGAAAGGGCCTCTTCTGGCCAGACGATGTCAATGACATTCGCCTTGGTCGAGGTGAAAGGTGACTGGAAGTGGATTGTGGAAACATGGAGTCTATGGCGTCACTATTGGAAATGTGGCAAAATCTGTTGGAGATGCGATGCATCTAGGATCCCCAGGCTTGCAGGTATTTGTGTGTCGCCCCATTGATCACAAATGCCCCTGAAGGTTTGGGCCTCTGTTCATGGAAACATCCAATGGACTTAGTGTCGCCCCAAAAAGCACGTGTTGAACACAGATGCCCCTGAAGGTTTGGGCCTCTGTTCATGGACTTTGATCGTGAGTGGGACCTTCGCACAACGCCAGAGTTTGTTCGGGATTGCCTCCCAGCAGAGCCCAACCCCTTGGTTAGAGTTCATGGCTTCAATGTAGGCATGCTGATGCTCTCTTGCAATTCATATTGCTTTTCAATTTTCCTTGGAGGGCTTAGGGAGAAAAAACACAGAGCATGCTTTCCCTGATCCCTGAGCATACAGTTTCTTACCAAGGAGACATTGCTCTATGCACTCCAACCAGTTGGGAATATACCTTGTCCTCAATGCAGAGGGGCTGCTCATTCTTGCAGAGCACAGAGCCGTGACATGGGGCTGTACTTTTGACCAGGCCTTGAGCCACTTGTATGATGATTTCAGGCATTGGTGTTCATCCAACTCTATCACGTGTTCGCACCGCCGCTGGTCAAAATCCAAACTTCATATGGAGACAGAGTATCAAAAGGTAATGGCACCATCATACCCATGGATCAAAGCGAAGGCTATGAACAGCAGGTTGATCCTAGGGTGGCTTGCAGAGTCATGGCCACAATCCAAAGCCAAGTTTTCAGAGTATTTTGGGATCCCCTGTTGGCTCACTGTTTGTGTTCAATCATCCAAATATCGACCATACCACCACCCCACCACCGGTGCCCAGGAACAGCTGAGCTCCGGACTGGAAGACCTTCTCAAGATTCGGCCATCGGAGGATCTAGCTTCGCACCAGCAACGGAGTCAACTGTGGGCGTTGGGCATTGCAACTGTGTTTCTCAGCTAGATGGCTCGCGTTTTTCTATGTTCAAAAGACAAGCGCACGTGCGTAAAGGGCACTGCACTGATTGGAGTGACATGTTTCTGCAAGGTGTAGCTTCGCGGAGTGGCAGCGGATGAGCGAGGTGATGCCAATCCGTCTGACACCGGTGGATGCTAACCACCTACATGAGATGGGGCTCCAATGCTTGCATTGTTTGAATGCCGTCGCTTCCGAGGCCCTTAGTCAGGGTCTGTGCAGGTGGTTTGTGCTCCCAAAGGTTCACTTGTTTCACCACATGGCCATTGACACCAAGCGGGAACAATGGAACCCACGCGGGTACCACAATTTCTCTGGAGAATCTTACATGGGAATCCTGAAGAAAATGGTGATCATGGCCAACAGAAGCCCCAAATTGGAGGAAAGAATCCTCCGCAGGGCGTTGCTAAGGCTGCAAGTCGGGGTCAGGTTGGAGTGAAAAGGGCGCCCAGGTTGTCGCCAGTCACTCGGTTCCTTGGTTCCTGTCGCTAGGGCCCGGTTACCCCAAATAGATGTAACTAGGAGGCCTTGGGCATTGTTAGGGTCCATGTCTGGCTCGTGATCGGCTTTATATGCAGTTGGCCATGTCCTCCACAACTGCTATTCCATCTGTGTGTGCTGGGAGTTATATAGACACCTTCAAAAGCCATCAAGCAAGAAAACGGCACCTATGCTGACGGTCTTGTCCTCTGTCCGCTGACGGCCGCTAGGTGCCGGTCGTACTGGCCAATCACACAATCACCTCAATGAGAGGGCAAGTTCCCCAATCCCCTGGGGAAAGGAATCACGACACACCCGCGAGCATCCACAAAGATGCACAGAAAACACAAGTCCTTGTAAGGATAAAAGCTAAAATTATTGACAAGTTACACGGGGAGTTCCATATTTTGTCTCAGCCTATAGAGTCTAATTTTCACGGCTATAGGTGCTTTTTCAACATTACTTTCTATCGCGTCGCGAACCACTATATATCTATTTCACAGCGCTTCCAGTACTCGTTTTTTTAACTGGGGACAAGGGGCTGGTCAGCGACGGACATGTGCGCAAGTTGAACGGGGTCACCATACGCGACCAACTCGCCTAAAACATACGAACCAAGGTACCCGTACTTGTAGGATCCTGTACTAGTGTTATTGAGCCGCCCAAGGCTAACCAAGCAAAGGCCTGACAATCGAGTTTTTTCCTCTCCCCACAGCAGGTACAGAAGAGTCTAGCGTTTGCTCGCGGGGTCGAGGACGGAGTTCGAGGGCTCGCGTGACTTGGCTATGTCAGCCTTGGACGAAAGAGACATCTGAATGTCGGATAGAACCATGGAGTGTTCGTGATGAATTCAATGGTGAATCTATATCAATACATTGACTCTCCAACTCCATTTGTCCTGTTTGAGATCCATCGTTGTGGGCCCAGGGCACAAAGTGCCAGGATGTGCCAGGACACGATGTGGCAGGGTCCAGGTGCTGAACTCGGTGGACTTCTGTGGAGCCTCCCCAGCCTCCCAACCAACACTCGGATCATATCGGATCACCTCAAGCTCTCCCACATTCACTTGCGCAAGCACTTCATGGAGCTCGTTTTGGATCTCAACTGACAAACAAAGGTGCCAAGTTCTGCAGCAACAGCTGGGCCCAGCTGTCTGCAATCCGACCGTCCTGCGCCCAGCTGGACGGCAAGCATGCGCCCGAGGTGAGCCGAGCTCCGCCGAACTGGTTTTATCTGTGGGGAGTCTACTTGGCCGTCTTGATGTGCTTACATCGGGGTGGTGTTTGTGGTTTCAGGGGCTACCCTACTAAGTAACAGTATAAACTGTACTGTACATATATAAAAATGTACATATATTCTGGGTTTGGGAAGTCCCATTCGGAACCCCCGCTTTGGTGGAGAACTGGACTTTACCGTTTCAGCGGCAGCTGAGCTTCCCACGCGGGGCGATGGGCCGAATCTGCTTCAGCACTTTCACCTGGCGCACCAGGCAGGACCCGGGAACATCTGAGTCAAGAAGTGATGGTTCAACAACTCCAGAACCAACGCAACATGAACAGTGCTGTTCATGTGGGAAATCTGACATCTTCGAGGTCCAAGCCTCAACTATATCCACAGTCCTTGGGGTATTGATCAAGACCAACTCAATTTGATCGCTGAAGATCCTCACGCAAACTCTTCTGGTCTTTCATCGAACCTAATTGAGGCTGAGGTGCTTCTTCATCATGGCTGTGGACAACTGACCACATAAACTTAAAGGACCAAAATGCCGCAAGTCATGCGAATGCAAAACAAAAGCGCATGTTTCATCATGTTTCCTTGATTGGGTGTCGTGTCTATGCGACCCTCAACCCTAACGTGTAAAGCACTGCCACAACTGGCGGTTCTGAAACTTCTGTTTATGACCCAGATCTGGTTCCAGTCCCACCCAAACCCATGGCGTCCCACGGCTATTCCCACCAGCTTCAGCGCCTTCTCATCTCGAACATCTTCCGCTTCCAAGGTGGCAGGTGCCTTCGTCGGTGAAGCCGTTGTGAAACCGATCACGGTTTGGCGACGACCATCGGGGATCCAAGCCGCCGATGTTCTGCCAAACTTCTGTCATCCAACATGACCGGACATGCCGAACTATGCCACAAGATCGAACCATACCCGTTTTTTCTCAGTCTTCTCAAGGTTTGGCTCTCAAGGCTTCGCACAACATATCGTTGGGCTTTGCCCCAAAAATTGCGGGGTCTCATGGGGTGTCTGTCTTCGTCTTCACGCTGTCTCCCCGGGAACTTTCCACCTCCATGGCCACCAAGGTCAACACCTGCATCAAATGGTTCCTGTAGACGGCGGCTTTGAACCGGTGAACTCGTGAGCCGAGTGGTACCGGTGGTCACTCCGAGTACGGTACATCCGTTGACTATGCGTATAAAGGTGTGGTGATGTGTGGTGACAATGGTCAATGTGGTGACTGAGTCACTGACTGGAACCTAATGGGAACATAGCTTCTCCAATCGTCCGACTTCTTGTTTGCCTGTTTGAGATGTTGTGAGGGTAGAAGCTGAGCAGTGAAAGTTGGCCAGGCAACCCCAGCGGGGTAGGTAAAAATCTGATGGTTTGGGATCCCAAAGATGCAAAAATCCTAGGGATGTGGCGCAATTGGACGTACATCACCCCAACATTGGATGTCCAAATCATGTCGTGCCCTCTCTGTGCTGAGTTTCTGCCAACACTCATACTTTTGAGGCTCTACGATCACACAGTGGCAAGCCCGAAAGCGCAAAACCCCACACTGAATGGGATCATCAAAAGCACCAGAAAGGCTCCAAATCATGACATGCAATCGTGTCCCTGCAACCATGTCCATTGTGGCACCGGTCCAGACCAGTGTACGAACGACAAGACAGTCACGAACATCGCATGCCTTTATGTCAGGTCGCTCACGATTAACAAAGCAAGTCTTGCTGGAAGGTTCATCAGTCATGCCTTCAATAACCTGAAGACTTGACATGGGTGGCTTCGGGGGGATAATACAAATAGTACAAAAAATCAAATAAATACACCAAGTGGTAGCTGGAAAATTTCCTGTTTTATGTGAGGATGTGCAATGCATAGTTTCAGAGATATCCTCACAAGCATCAAGCATCGACCACCCCGTCAGTCAGGGAACCCCGCTGCATGATGTCCCGGATGATACCGTAGCCATCGAAGTAGCCGGCACCTGATTAGGGTCATCTGTCTGTGCCACGTGGCTGCGGACTCCTAAACTCAACACGGTTGCATGAACTCAGCGTGGGACCCAAATTCTCCAGCACTGAAAAAACATCTTCAACATCTTCGACCCACTAATAAAACGTGTGCACATATATATATATACATAATTCATGCGAGTGGATCTTAATCAGCGAAGTTTGAAGCTATCACTGACGGTCCATAAGCGGCGTAGCGTCGGAACGGAAACCGCACCTTTTCTAGTCGCTTGATCCTTGAGCCAAAGTACATATGGTATATATATATGTACAAGTTGCACTGTACGTGTCGCTGCACTTCCATTCGCACCCCCCATGTGAACGGCAACAATATGTTCCGATCACACACGAAAATTTAGGGATGTAAGTGCTACAAAAGAAATTGTATGATTTGCCGCGAGACTCATATGAGGCTCATACTACGAAACATGCTGGACTAAAGCGGACTTTTACATATAAAGTGTGCAACTATGGCTCAGAACCTTTGAAAAAAAAATCGAATTGAACAAGTGAGACAGTCACGAGGCCTCGCTCAGTATCCACTCAAAAGAGCATCGCTTTGATGTAGATCCGAACTGGTGACTTCCACGTAGATGTCACATCGGCAACTGACTTCACACTTCTAAAAAAAAATGTAGATTTTGATTTGGATACACTTACAGAACGGCAAGTCGGAGAGACAGTCGGTGACTGTCTGCCTTCCATTATGCTCATGGTATCAAATCGTTAATCCGATGATTTGCAATGATACACTTACAGCGTTTCAGGTCAGATAGACATCCGGTGAATGACTTCCTCCCTGGCTTGCATGGTATCCTCATAGTCGTTCAAAGAAATCACCACTGGTGATAACCTCTCCATCCACGATGATCCCAGCTGCCCTGAGCATCCCACCGATCATCTTCTCCCTTCTTGGACTTTCCCTTGGACTTGCTCTTTCCCTTTCCCTTTTCAGAAGGTTGAGGTACTTCGCGACGTTCTTGCGTTAGCGCCGGCCTCCAAGATGTTCCAGATTGGCCTCCTCCTTTGGAATGTCCTCGGGATGATGAAGAAGTTGTACCTTCTGCTGCATGTGTGCTGGCGGCAAGATCTTCCTGCAAAGCTTGCTCAAACACATCGGTAGCACTGGAAGGTGATTTATCATGTGGTCTGGCTTTTGGAGCAGCCTTCGCCTTGTTCTCCTCTGCTGATGAGGGCCCGAAACTCTTAGGTGCTGTTGAAGGTTTTTGCTCCTCACTTGGTGCTGACGACGGCTTGGCCTCGGTTCTGGGTGTAGATGCTGGCTTTGCCTCAGCTCTTGACGAAGATGCTGCTTTCGCTTCAGACTTGGTCGTTGATGTTGACTTAGCTGTTGCCTTGGCTGCCTGCTTCTTCTTGCCCTGAATCTCCTTGGCCCTATCTCCAAAGCCTAGACGATTGGTAAGAGCTTGAACATGCTTATGTTCTACCACGCTCATCCATCTCTCTGTATGTCCAACGTTGGGGTTTCTGGCCATTGACTCTATGACTTCCTGAGCTTGTGGGGGCAACCTGATTTCATGTTGATCAATGATCAACAGAATAGACTTCTCCCACTTCCTCTTCATTCTCGAGTACATGATGTCCAGAGGATCGATCACCTTGTGGTAGGGTGATGTAATGTCGGTTCTAAAGTAAGAGTATGTCCGACACCCATAAATCGCATGGATGCACTTCTGTACCAATTCAGTCATTGCGCTGGCTTTCTTCGCTTTCAACTCCTCAAGCTGGGCATCAGTCAAGTTGGTGGAGTATTCGAAGTTGCCATATTCCTCCTTGAAGGATTGCGGAGTATGACCAAATGATAGGATCACGAGTGCCACCTTGCAAATGAATTGCTCTCGTCTGAATCGGTGCCAGGCCTCCTCAGTTGTAATATTGTTGTCGTTGGCAAAGATTAACATCATGTCATCTGTTGGATCCAATGGTCTCCCATCGTCATCGATTTCAGTGGAATCCCCTGTACCGAACTTGCTTATCACATCCAGGCGCTTCCTTTTCCAATTTGCTTTGAAGTCGGTAAGGCTGGTGCAATAGTAGCTCTTGTACATCAGGGAGATCATGTTCAGCACACATTTGACCACATACCTATCCATCAAACCCGATGCATTCATGGAGACGTCCTGACAGTAGGCTCTCTCTTGATGCGCATAGATTCGAGGTTCCGGTACTCGACAATAGATGGGGAGATCTTCGTTGTCTCTTCCTTCTTCGGGATTGAACTCGGTCGCTCCATGCTGTGCATAATATCCCGGTTCATCACGATCTGTCGGTCGATTCGCCTCCGGATGTAAGTCGTCGGTGACGTCTTCATCCTCGGGCTCACCATCTTGATGTTTCTTCCCCTCATATTGTTGTGTGCTCCTCTGGATCTCGATGATCACGTTTCGTTCATCTTCATCTTCTAGATCAGAATCACGACCGTAGTCGATCTCGTCCTCATTGAAAGATGGGGTCTCGACATTGTCACTCTTGAAGTTTTCTGCACCATCAGACGGTTTGGAAGGATCTAGATTGTCCATGTCCTCGTCGTCGTCAGCTGCTTCAGTTTGAGTGATGTCTTCTTCCCAAGCCTTTCTGATCTCGTCCATAGTGGCCTGGTCCAATATATCTTGATCATCACGTTCAGGCTCCCTCTTTTCCTTCTTTTCCTCTTCATCGTCGCTCACAAGATCAACGGGTGAATCGGAAATGACAGTGTTGCGAATACCACACGAGAGTAGCCTGCCTTGACAAGATAGACACACGGACAAAGATGAAGAAGTCAAATGCATACATGATGGACACAAAATATTGCCATCCACGTTGCGATACCCTTCACATGTTCTGGAGATGATTTCGTCCCAAGTTTCCTCACTGATGGAATCCTCGATCAGCTCTCCATTGCCATCGAATTGTACTTCATCGATAAGGGACACGAGCTTTTGGACGTTGTCATCTGTCGCCGAGGCTGACTTCGTGACTTCGTCGGCTCTCTCGAGGATGGTATGCTTCTGAGCAACCCAAAGTCCATGACGTGCCGCTAGAACAACTTGCTCTCCAGTGCTTCCCAGCAGGAGTCTCCTCCATGCCTGACCGTGGTCGTCCCAATACCAAGCACCTCGTACACATCTCCATGGAACTTCTCTAAAAACAACAGTGTAGGAATTCTCCGAAATTCTTCCCCCAAGCTTCCTCAAAGTCATGATTGGAACATAAAGGCAAACGGGCATTCCCACTCTTGGCCATCTTGATCTCAGAATCTTTGATGATCGATCATCCCACGGCGCAAAGTGGTTGAAGAAAACACTACCTCTATATCCCTCCGTTCCACCAGGGACAATTCCTAGTTTCATGATTGACTCAATATTGGAAAGCGATGTCATGTGAAAGCTTCCTCCAAGCTGCATTGCCACATTCTCTGGAATGAGATGTGAAGTCCACACAGGATATATTGACACATCCTCTTCAAGAACAGTCTCTCTTCCAGAATTGTGAGAGGCAACAGCTCGAATTGCACAAGGAACGATCCAACGTTCATGCTTCAGAAATGACGGTGCGTCCGTGCCGTAAAACATGAGATTTGCCCAGTATTGCCTTTCCTCTTCGAGTGAGACATCCTCCTTTGAGATGCGAATGGCGGCAATCTGATAGCGTACTCTGTTCTGCAACTTCTTTGCATGCCACATCGCCTTGCATAAATACTGGTATCGCTCTGTCTTGGTATCTTGCTCACGTTGAGTACCTGAGATAGTACTGATATTGACACCATCGTTGAAGACATGATCATATTCCAGGATCTCATCGATGTTCACCCATCCACCCTCATTGCACTTCGGGGACACATGAGGTTTTCGACCGCGGTGCGATTGAATCCCATTATGCTTTCCCACTCCATGCCTGAGTAGTCTATTGAGTCTATGGCTAATCTCATTGACCCACTGACTCTCCTCGCTGGACTTGTCGATGCGAGTTGCTGGGTTCATCTTTGGTGGATCCGTGAAAGTTGCATCTCTCTTCGGTCCATTCCAGTACTCCACATAGAATGTAACTCCATACTGTGGAATTATCTCGATGTTTCCTCTATCGCAAGTCACCTCAATCTGCCGATATCCAGCCTTTTGAACTTATTGTGGGTCAGGAGCAAGGTCCTTCACTTTGGGCATCTTTATTCCGAGCGCTGCAGCCTCCTGAATAAGCGCATCAAGTTCCCTCTTTCCATCGGGACCTGATCTATCAACCCTGTGATTTGCGACCCTGTATTCTCCTCCTTCTTTGTCATCGGCAATGTCAAAGAGGTCGACGGGCTCTTTGAATCTGGTGACGAAACTGGCGTTCCCAAAGGCCTTCTTGGTTGCCTCGACCGCTTTCGCGTATTCCTCTTTTGCAGAGTCTGACGAATGTGGTCTACCTTTGGCTCTCGGAGAGTAAGGTGGTACCTTACTTCCTAGTTCCGGCTCTTCTTCGGGAAGTTCAATATCTTCATCATCCACATCCATATAGTCCTCGTCTTCGACGTCTTTGGATGACTTGGCTTTCCTCTTTCGGCTTTCAACATCACGTCGGATGATTGCCTTGTCGTCCTCGGTGAAGCACTTGCGCATAGTGTCCTCCATGTAAGAAAATGAGTTCATCAACTCGTTCTTCTTCTCAGTGTCGGGACAAATAGCCAGGTGATGTTGGTTTGAACCACAACAATAGCACACCTTTTGGCTCGCTGCGCGTGCTCTGACCCTTCTGAGGTTGTCATAGGCGGATTTCCAGCTGGAAGCGGTTGCTGTACCTTGCCCACTGCGCTTGGCAGCTCTTTTCCGTTCCTCAGTATCTGGATTCGATGTCGGGTAGTGTGACCATGTTTTCGTCGGAGATACTGAACGACCTTCCCCTTCCTTGTAGTCTTGCGGATCAAGCTCAGGCGTAGGTGGTTCAGGCTCCTCGACTCCTGGAGTGGTACTCGCAGGGTCGGCTTCGCCAT